AAGCATTGATTTTTGTATATTTTTCATCCCAACAGATGTCAAACTCACTTATAATTTGTACAATGAATTCTCTTGAGTTTTTTATTCCTCTTGAGTTTTTTGATATATATTCTGCTTATATACAAGTAACATTGCTTATTTTTCCCCAATTATTCATATTTTTATGCTTTATTGCATTAGTGAGAATTTTCAGATTCATGTTAATAACTAGAGGGACAAATGTTCTGCTTCATTTTGGGAAATAGGAGAAAAAGACTTCCAGTCCTATTGTAGTAACATGAAATAACCTCATAAACCAAAAAACCTTGCTTTTCTTTAAAAGTGTATAGATGCAAGGAAATATTAAAAATCAAAGCAAAACTGAACTCTGGAGGGGTTCTTGCTAGGTGATTGAAGGATATGGTATACTTTCAGGATGATGGCCAGATGCTGAGATTGGAATGAGCCTGCCAGAGGACAGTCTTTGCTAGAATGGAGAGAGAGCAGCCAAACTTTTAGAGAAACCTGTCATATTTGAATCTGATGAAGTCTCAAATCAAAGATTATCTTCTCTACCTAGTAATTCTGTCATATAGAAATTTTGCAGAGACTGGAGGGAGACTGAAAGTAAAAAGAAATCTTTTTTTTTTTTTTTTTTGGTACCGGGGATTGAAAACTTGGGTCCTTGTGCTTGCATAGCAGGTGGTGAAACCTCTGAGCTAAATCCCCAGCCGTAAAAAGAAATCTTAAGACAATAAAAAGGATCGCTGGTTGCCCAGGGGCTAATGAGGATGAAGGAACAAATAGGAAAGACACAGAAGAGTCTTAGGGAAGTGAAATTACTCTTTGTGATACTACAATATAATGTATAATACCATTATACATTTGTGCAAACCTATAGAATATACAACACCAAGAGTGAACCCTATGTAAATTATGGACTTTGAGTGAAAATCATGTGTCAATGTAGGCTCTTCAGTTGTGACAAATGCACCACTCTGGTGGGAGGTGTTGACAAGTGAAGAAACTATGAGAGTAAGAGCATATGGAAAATCTCTGTATCTTTTGCTCAGTTTTTTTATTAACCCAAAAAATGCTCTTAAATAAAAGTCTGAGTATTTGTGTAGGGGGTGGATATCTGACATTCTTGCAGTTTCAAGGCTTCACGGTTGCAAAGTGTTCAATCTGAGTCTCTCAGTGGTGTCCCATGGCTCAGTGGTTCTGAAGTCCTGTTGTTTTGTGGTTTTTTACACTCTTGATGTCTTGCAGTTTGCAATTTCAAAGTCTATAACACAAGGACGGTCAAACATTTTTTTTAAAGAGGCAGATACTAATTATTTCAGGCTTGTGTGCCTTTGGACTCTGTTGCAGTTACCCAGTTCTGTTATTAGAACCTCAGTGACTTATAATGCAATACCAAACATACGTGTGAGTGGGGTCTCAGAAAAAGGTAGAAAAAATATTGGAAATAATAATAGCAAAAAATTTCTAAATTGGTGAAAATGAATCTCTCAGATCCAACCATACCAAGCAAGTCACAAATAGCTGATAAAATCTCATCATTAGGGATGTAACTTAGTGATAGAGAACCTGCCTAACATGCACAAGGACCTAGATTTAACATCCCAGCACCACAAAAGAGAGAACTAAACTCTGTTCTTAATTCAGTGAAATCTTTCTCATTAGTTTCCTTACTCTTGACTAAGATCTGGAAAGTGACTACAGGCAGAAAATCAGAGCAGTGGAAATGTTCACCTCGCTCATTTCCTTCATCTCAGGAATCACAATTCTGTATTGCCTGTTCTCTAATTCTAGAAACAGTGATTTTATATACAGTGGACCCTTGACTTATAACCAGTCTGACATGCGAGCAACTTGGGTTATGACTGGAATTTTAGTTTTAACTTACAACCAAAGTTTTGAGTTATGACCCAAATGCTGGCCACTTTTGTGCTAGTAAACAAAGGCTCATGATGCCAGAAAAGCATATATAAGCATATGTAAGCATCAGTCTGAGCCCAGATGTACGTGTTTGTGGACATGATTTCAGTCAGTGCTTTATATAATCGCCATGATTACTGCTATCAGAATGACCCCCAAAAAGCTAGAAAAGAAGCTAAGGGAGGGAGGAAAGGTAAAGAAAGCAATCACAATCGAAAAGAAGAAGGAAATTGCTGAGAAATGAGAGTGCTGTTTATGTGACCAGTCTTGTTAATATCTACCACCTCAACAATCTTACAGAGAAAAGATTTATGTAAAGAAACTAGTGCTGCTGAAGGTGTTACTCAAATTAGTAAGTCAGTATTAACAGTGTGAGATGAGGCAGGAAGGCTTTTATTACTGTGGATAAATGAAAGGCAGATGGCACATTATAGCCTGAGTCTCCAATTTGTGAAAAATCTAGGGCTTTATATGCAACTCTCATAAAGGACAATCCATCAATGAGTGATAATAGTGAAACATTTCATGCCAGTAAGGGGTGGTTTCATAATTTTAAAGTGAGAACTGGGGTTCATAGCATAACTAGGCATGGTGAAGCAGCCGGTGCTGATAAAAGGGCTGCTGAAAATTACATACACCACTTCAAAATGATGACACAGAAATGGCTTTTGCTCTCATCAAGTTTTCAGCTGTGATGAAACTGGCCTTTTCTGGAAGAAAATGCCCAGGAGAACATATCTTACCCAGGAAGAGAAGAAAATGGCAGACCACAAGCCTGTGAAGGATAGGGTAACCTTATTGCTATTTGCCAATGCAAGTGGTAACCTCAAGATAAAGCCCCTTTTGATTTATCACTCTGAGACCCCTGGAGTGTTCAGAAAACATAAAGTCATGAAGAGTAGGCTAGGGGTCATGTGGAGATTAACACAAAAGCCTGAGTAATAAGAATACTTTTTCTTGAGTGGATCAGGGAGGCTTTCTGTCCTACTGTTAAGAAATATCTGAAGGACAAAGGTTTACCATCCAAGTCTCTCTTCATTGTGGACAATGCTCTTTCTCATCCATGAAATTTGGAAGAATTGGCTGAAGAATTCCCATGGTTCCTTTGATCTAATACAACTCTTCTACTGCAGCCTGTGGGCCAGCAGGTTATAGTTAATTTAAAGACGATATACACCAAGGAACTGTTCCTAAAGTGCTTCCAGATGATCTCAGATACAGATTTAACCCTTAAAAGGTTTTGGAAGGAACATTACAACATCCTTTCCTGTGTGAGGTTAATTGAGAAGTCCCAGGCCAATGTCTCTGTAAGGACACCGAGATCTGCCTAGAAGAAAGTGTGGCCTAAAATTATACAGGAGAGAGACTGAAGGCTGTGTAGAGGATCCTGAGCCTTCAATTTACACTGTGGTTGATAACATTGTCACTATAGCAGAGTCCATAGGGTTCCAGGTAGACTGTGGTGATGTTGAGCAACTGGGGGAGGAACACTACTCAGAAATTGTCTACAGAGGAACTTCAGCAACTTCTGGCTGAGCAGCAGAGAATGGCAGCTGAGGAGCTTTCTGACGAGGAGGGGGAGCATCAACAATCAGTGCAGCAAAGTTCTGAAATAAAGGAAAGCCTGAAAAAATGGACAGAGCTACAAACGTGTAGAAAAGACCCACCCAGACAGAAAAAGCCAATTGTTGCATTCACTTGGTTAATGACAATGTCATGTCATACTACTGAACGATGTTAAAAAACAGAAATAGACAACCTTAGACCAGTTTTTAGTTCTGAAAAGGTTGAGACCTAGTGAGCCAGAAGCAGGTCCTAGTGGGCTATAGACTCTCCTGGGGAGAGAAAGGATACCAGAGAGCCAGATTCCTGATGTTCTTACGGAAGGGGTCTCTCCTTCCAAACAATAACCACCTTCCATTTCATCCCTCCTTCCTGCAAGCCAATGATGTCACCTTGAATGGTGAGTACAGTATGAAATTATTGTTTCTGGTAAACTAGGCACATTTTATAACTTTTGGTGAATACACTAGGAAAATTATTGGTGTTTCTAGTAAATTATGCACATTATACAACCACTTTTTATTATGGAAAGGTTAGTTAAGGGGTGCTTTGAGAAGTTCAGAATGCATTATAGTTATTTCTATTATATCTTATGAGAAAAATAGTCTTGACTTAACAACCAACTTGAGTTACAGCCAGCCCTCGTGAACAAATTGAGTTTATAAGTCAAGGGTCCACTGTATTTTGTTCATTTTCCTAGTTATTTATGGCAAGGGGGGCAAATCTGGTGCTAGTTACTTGATGATGGCTAGAAAGGGTCATTCCCAGGATTATATTTTAATAGTATCACTTTGTTTGCCTTGTTGAGACTAAATATCTTGTGTGTTCTTTCCAAATTTCACTTTAATTCTTTGAAAGAGAAAAATACATATAAAATGTGACTGTGGTTAAAGCTTATCTAAATTTTTAATACACCTTCTGATGAATGAAGAGGGATGTTTATACTTTCATGATTCTACTATTATCTAACACATCATCAATCCTATTCCACCTCCTCAATCATTGATTGACTTGTTACTTGTCCTCTACCCTCTGTTTTTCCATTTATTGAGTAAGTATTGAGTGTGTAAGTTACCATATTGACAAGATAAATCAGACCTGGGACCTGCTCTTGTAATGTTTGCTGTCTACTCAAGAAAAAGGATGTACATAGAAACTTTAAATCCAAGATGGAGTTTGAAAATTAGCAAAGATGCTGGGCGTGGTGGTGCACACCTTCAATCCTAGCACTTGAGGTGAAATTTGTTCAAGGCCAATGTGGATTACACAGATCCTGCCTTGGGGAAAAACAAAAGCAAAAGGATATCTTTATCTATGTATCTGTATCTCCTTAGAAGGTATATTATCTGGATGAACTAACTGCTGAGAACAGCATTCTGAGGTTTTCTACACAATTTTTTTTTTTTTTGGTACTGGGGATCGAACTCTGGTCCTTGCACTTGTGGGGCAGGCGTCGAAACCACTGAGCTAAATCCCCATCCCGCATTCTGAGATTTTATAATTGATTTTACTCACAGTGGAGGAGTCTGACATCATTGATCTGGAGAAACGCTATTGGTTGCTGAAGGCTCAGTCCCGTACTGGACGATTTGATTTAGAGACCTTTGGCCCACTTGTTTCACCACCTATACGTCCATCTCTAAGTGAAGGTAAGAATCATTCCATTTTCTACAAATGTTCATTGGTAAATAAACACTCAAGCCCATTGCTTATTTGTAACTGACACATCTTAACTTTAAAAGGTCATATTTCCAACCAGGTTTGGTAGTGCACACTTGTAATCCCAGCACTCTGGTAGGCTGAGGCAGGAGGATTCCAAGTTAAAGCCCCAGGCTGGACAATTTAGTGAGACCCCTTTTCAAAATAAAAAATATAAAAGGGATAGGGATGTAGCTCAGTGTGAAGGCCTTGGATTTAATCCCCAGTACCACCCAAAAAAGTCATATTCCGGTAGGCTTGCAAGTTTTTTTCAATTAGTGTAGTGGAGAAAAATTAAAATGGAAATTAGAATTACAGTGTTGAGCTTCATATTCTACCCGTGTAATCATTCATAAATCAGTTTAATCAGTTTAGCTCATTGTACCTGAATATCCTCCTTATAAATGAGTTTGACCAAGTCGGTGGTTAGGAGAGTGTGCCCTAATGGGGTCTGTTAGCAGGTGGTATACACAGACAGGGCTGGTGTGCACTGAATGGACGGAGCTCCAGATTTTCATACATGACCTCACTTCTTCCTCAGCTAGGGTGGCTCTTTTTCTTTCCCCCCCGGTAAGATTTTATCACCATATCCCTGTCCCCCAAAGAGTAAAGAACTATCACTTTTTTTTTTTTTTGAGACCGTCATGCCATGTAGTCCAGGCTGCCCTTGAACTCATGATCTTCCTGCCTCAGTCTCTTGGGTCTTGGGCTTACAGACATGTACCACCAGGTCTGGTGGCTTTTTTGTTTTTGTTTTAATAGTACAAAGACTAAGTGTGGATGGTATCATAAAGATCATATTTGGAATCTGAATGCTTGGGTTCTGCTTCTGGTTATGAAGTTTTATTTTTTTGCTTTGTTTTGTGGTGATGGGGATTAAACCCAGCGCCTTACAGATGCTAGGCAAGTGCTATGCCATTGAGCTACAGTCACAGCCTGGTTATAAAGTTTGGTGTGTTTGGCTTTTGCAGTACTCAAGATTGAACTCAGAGAGTACGGAGTTTTTTTTTTTTTTTTGAAAAGTCTAAGTTCCCCAGACTAACCTCATACTGCAGTCCTACTGTCTCAGCTTCCTGTATAGCTGGGGATACAGGTGTATGCCCCCAGATTCAGCTCTGATTATAAAGTTTTTCACCTTTTGGTAAATTACTGAGCTTTAGTTTTCTATTCTTTAAACATAAGACACTGAATTAGATTCTTAGAAATTCTCTGTATTTTTTCAGATTCCTAGGATACTTCAGAAATACTTGTTAAGGGAGCCACAGCAGGTAGCACTCTGGGTTTCTACTTCAACCATGCAATTATATTTGCATTTTTTTAGAGTTGGAAATTGATAATATCATTTTCATTTTAAAACAAAATTGTTTCATTTCTATTTTTTAAGAAAAAGTTTAAAAAACAGGATTACATTATGAATTCCTTCTCATTCCTGAAATTTAAAATATTCACATATGGCCGGGGATTTAGCTTAGTGGTTCTGCTGCCTGCCTCACCAGCGCAAGGTCCCAAGTTCGATCCCTGGTACCAAAAATAAATAAATAAATAAATAAATAATATAAAATATTCACATATGAAAGATTAAATAGTACAAAGTACACTGTAGTAGAGGATCTCTTATAGTGTAGTTCCCTTTGCTTTATGAAGAAGCTTATTAATGATACCATAGGTGTGTCTTTGGGTATTCAAAGTGATCCAACTTTTTTTTCCTCTCATTTTTTACTTTTTCTTTTTACTGTTACTATAATTTATGACTCTTCTTGATTCTAATTTTGTCAAATTTTTTTTTTTTTTTGAAACAGAGTCTCACTATTTAATTCAGTCTGACCTTGAACTCACTATGTAGTCCAGGTTGGCCTTGAACTCACAGGGATCCTTCTGCCTCAGCCTCCTGAGTCCTGGAATTATAGGTGCATGTCACCATCCCTGACTTATTTGCCAACTTAAAAAATATATAGGCATATATTAAGCCATTATAATTGATACCAGAGGTGCATACTGACATAACCAAACACTAACAGATTCTATTTTCTGCTAGGATCATAAGTTTCAATTGTAATTTTACCAAGAGAGGAAAAGTACTTTCTGAGACATTGGGAGCTGGTGATAAACTTTTTAAATTTTTTAATTCAGCCAGTTTGTGGGATATAGTAAGTCCCCTTTTCATAAACATGTCAGTACTAACATTAGGAAGTTTGTTGGCTGTGACTTATGCTGTCTTTTTCTATTTTTTAGGCTTATTTAATGCTTTCGATGAAAATCGTGATAATCACATAGATTTTAAGGAGATATCTTGTGGGTTATCAGCCTGTTGCAGGGGGCCCTTGGCTGAAAGACAAAAATGTAAGTGTGTTGAACTGTCAGTAAAATTGCAAGTTATATACCTTTCATCCATGTAGAGCCATCTGTAGGTTAAGGCTTGAGTGTTCATAATGTCAGGTTGTCAAATACTAATCCCATGTTGGGGTTTATTAAGGTTGATAAAACCTTATCTATTCTTTTTTTTTAGTTGAGAGTAGCTTGGGATCCTTGTTGTTAATAACTGGGTGAAGAATTTGTAATTCATGATGATGAAAATTTTTAGCAGTTGGGAAATATTTACTGTTAGTTTATATAGAGAATTTAGTCTTGCATAATTTGAAGTATAACTCAATTTCTTTTGGTTGTACACATTAATGTTTTATTGGCAAAATGAAATTTATAATCAGTACAGTTTTATTAAATTCTAAAATGGTCTTTTAAACCTAGCTAAAATGTTGTTATAGCATAATTTATAAGCATAAATATATTGCATTATTAAATCTTAACCATAGTTGAGAAAATGCAGTTTACATTTAATTGGAATCTAACTCAAATATATTTACTAGGATCATTGTTTCTAAAATAGAGCTTCACAAATGTTGCCTGTTTTGGAGGTTTTATTTAATATTTTGATCTTAGTAATGTACTATGATACACTATTGATGCAAGTATTCTATTATGGAGGCATATGAAATACATCATTTTTAATCTAAATCTTAAAAATTCAGATTCCCCTTTTGTTTCTCATTAATATACTGTCGTTCAAAGCTGGCTTTGTAATAAAATGATTTATTTTCCTTAAAACTTAATATTAAATAAGGAGGCTGAAATCTCTTCTCATTTGAGGTTAATTATTGCATTTAAAAGTTAAAGTTTTAAAAATTTCTTTATTAAAGAGGTAAAGTAGAAGCAGCTTATCTTTCCATCAGCTTGTTGTTACCAGTTCTGAATGTAAATGTCATAACTTTAGGTATATATGAAACAACTCTGCAATGGTTAGTTTTGAGTAGTAGAAATTAACTCAAAGGAGTTGAGAATATCGCTCAGTGAAAGAGCACTTGCCTAGCATGTCCAAGGCCCTAGATTCCCTGGATTCAGTCCTCAGTACAGGAAGAGAGGAAGGGAAGAAAGGGTGGAGGGACTGGTTGAGATCCTCCTCAAAATAAGGGATTATAATATTGTACAATAACAGACTTTTAAAAATTTATAAGTAAATTAACTCTGGTGGATATAAAGGTCTCCCCAAACCTGGATATTGACTTAGTAATAGATTCATGAAATCTATGCAGGAAGTCCTACAAGTTCCAAAAAAATGCAATAATACAGTATAGTCTGCTCCTGCTGAAAACTGCTCAAAATGGAAAAAAACAATATAAAAATAATTTCCTACTATAAGATTTTCTTTTCATTAGTTTGCTTCAAGGTATTTGATGTTGACCGTGATGGCGTTCTCTCCAGGGTTGAACTGAGAGACATGGTGGTTGCACTTTTAGAGGTCTGGAAGGACAACCGTACTGATGATATCCCTGTAAGTTTTTTGTTGTTTTTTTTTTGGTATCGGGGATCAAATTCCGGTCCTTGTGCTTGTGCAGCAGGCGGTGAAACCACTGAGCTAAATCCCTGGCCCCATCCCTGTAAGTTTTGATTGCTTATGTTTTATGACATATAAATTTTGAATATGAAAATGGAGCAAATAATTTAAAACCAAGAAAAGAATTTATTACTGCTTTTAGTTGCTGCATTATGCTACTCAAAATATACCTAATGATGCAAAATTGTTTAGAGAGTTTACTTAGAAAAATTTAACAAACTAAACATACCGTGTAAAGTAAGAACAAAGGAAAATTTTCTTAATTTTTAAAGCAATATTGAAATCTATTTATGGTAATTTTAAAATATTTTACCAACATACAGTGTACTATAGCTACTGAATAATAAAATAAAAATTATATCCACTAATTATTTTCTAATTACTCATTTGGATTGTTTTAAAAGGAACTATGTATGGATCTCTCTCACATTGTAGAAGGCATATTGAGTGCACATGACACCACAAAGGTGAGTCTAGCTATGACTAACTTATCTTTTTCTAAAAATACTATGGACTCTAAGTTGAAATATATAGCTTGTATACATGCTCAAATAACTTCTGCATCATCCCCACCAAGTCAATATCTGAAACTGTGGTTAAAATACTGCCACATTATCTCTAAAGATAGTTCATTCCATCTTAAAACAACTCTATGAACTCGAATAAAAGAATTAAGTAGACATAGCCCTTGAGATCTATAGTTAATAATCTTTCTTCTATTTGAATAAGTTATGGTGATGCAAACATATTGAGCAAAAGAAGCCAAACATAAAACAATGCATACTGTATGATTCCATTTATGTTGAGAATAGAAGCAAACTCAACATAGCAATAGAAATTGGAATCATGATTTCAAGAGTAGGTGGATTAATGGTGTCCACATTGATATCATTGTCTTCATATTTCACTATGGTTTCCCTGTCTGTTCAAAATGCTAACTGCTGTAAAACTAAAAGGAATTTGTACTGGCTGTTAATTTTGTCATTGATGCAAAATCATTAACAATTATTACTTCAAGGAAAAAAGTAGCATTTTGAAATGTAGCTTCTTTTCATTATAGTTTCTCTCTGTTACATCCTGGAATTTCAGTCCTTGATGGTTCAGTGTAAAACTAAACCGTGGGTTGAAATCAGAACATATTTATACCTTAGAGTCTGTTAGATTATATAGCATTTATATAATTTTTGCTGCCTGTAGCTGAGGTGTATGGTGTTGTGGAACTTGCAGATCTCCTTTTCTTTTTAATGTTAAATCAAGATTTTTCTAAATTTCACAAATGCTTATTATCTTCAACATGCTATGTACAAAACTATTTGCATTTCAACATCTAGATAGTGTTTCATTATGAATATACTATGACTTATTCTTTGGTCTTTTACAACCAGTGCTTGCCTAGTATGTGCAAGACCCTGAGGTTCAATCTTCAGTACCACCACCCCCATGTTGAAGTTGAAAAGGCATAATCCAGAAAATTTGCTTTTTTATTTCAAAATTAGTAAATATTTCATTTTCCCCACTCACTGCCTTTCATGATTTTTCCTAAGTAACTTAAAACAGAAATAATTCCCAAGTCTTACTGGAGAAGAAAGATGGTTGATAAGTGCTTTGTTACACCGACTGCTTGAACAAAATTACAGATAGAATTTATGTAAACATTGTCACTTGTAAATTTATGCTAGCTGGAGTACTTTTCAGATGAACACATAGCATCTCCTATAAGTTATTGCTTTGTTTCCCAGAACATAGTAAGTTTAATAAGCCAGCCTTATTTAAATGTTATTAAAAAATAAGGCTTTTAATGTGAAAATCTTTTTTAATATCTCAGATGGGCCATCTTACGCTGGAAGATTATCAGATCTGGAGTGTGAAAAATGTTCTTGCCAATGAATTTTTGAATCTCCTCTTCCAGGTATGTTAAGATAAATGATAGGAATAGTAAGGAGTAGTACCAATAGTTCTTACATCTTTTCCATTATATAATAGCTTGAGTTGTTACATGTAGACTGCAAAACTGTGTGTTATGTAAAAACGGAACCATGTTATCCCATATACTCCATGAAAGTTGATAAGATAGAGTATGAAATGTCTGCTGCCCCTTCTCAGAATCATAATGTGGGAGATTGGAAAGCAGAATTTGGATGATACTGTTTGTTTATCTTATATTTCATGCCTGGACAGCATACATATAGAGAATAATACTGCTTACAAATGCCATCATAATTTGTTATTTTTCCTCATTGTCTCCCCACCCTCAAGAGCTAGAGATTGAACCCAGGGCCTCCTGTATACTAGGCAAGCATTAAGGCCTTCCTGATAAGGCATTGTGATCAGGAAAGAGGAAGAATAAGTAGATACTTGTAAATTTTTCAGAGTATACAATGTCTCAAGCTAGGAAATCATCTGGATCATCTTAGCTGTGATGCAAGCTGTTTCCTTTTTTTTTTGGTACCGGGGATCGAACTCGGGACCTTGCGCTTTCAAGGCAGGCAGCGGAACCACTGAGCTAAATCCCCGGCCCTGATGCAAGCTGTTTCTTGAGCTTTATTCTTTGGAAGGTCCAAGAAAGATTGAGGGGAAATGAGGGAAGGAGGGAAAGGAGAGAGGGAACAATAAGAAGGATGTTAGGTAGGCTACCGTGAGTGAATATTAAGTTATTGACCTTGCCAGATTTTAACTTTTTCTACTGAAACTAGCATTCTCACTCTGCTTTTTATATATCTTACATTTTTCTATTTTAATACCTCATATTTAAGTTTATTTATTAAGTTTATTTATTTTAGTTTCTTTTTATTTTGCTTTGCTTTATTTTTTTTTTTTTTTTTTGCTTTTCTGTAAAAGCTCCCCTGTGAAGGTCAGAATGGTTTGGAAGGTTTATGTCTATCATGATCTTCCATTCGGAATAAAGAATAACTTCTGCAAGACAGCTGTGTTGAAGTAAATGAAGTTGGTCTCTTCTTGACAGCTAATGACTAAAAGTTGTATATTTAAAACACAATCTGATAGGCTTATAATATCCATTTATATCAATCAGTTATATTCATCTGGGATTCAAGTTGATGGCTTTATAAAATATATATGAAAATAAATCACTGCTGTAAACAGAACTGACTTCCTTGGTAACATGAAAATTAGTCAACTATTTTTCACCTTATTTGAAGTAATATCTTCAGTAGTAGATTCTATAGGCTCTTATACTATTGCTTATTTTAAGGTTACTTATATCTCATTCAGTATATAAACATTATAACACATTGTATTTGAGTCATCATGTAGCTGTCATATAGTAAAGCATTTTGATTTTGGGTATTGCCTTCCCTATTTTCTCGTTCTTTTTTTTTTTTTTTTTTTTGGTACCGGGGATCAAACTCGGGTCCTTGCGTTTGCGAGGCAGGCGCCGGAACCACTGAGCTAAATCCTTGGCCCTATTTTCTCATTCTTATCAGGAATTTGGAATAGCACTATTTTTCTATGACTCTTATAAACAAGTATATACTTGAGATTTGCGTGTGTGTGTGTGTGTGTTTGTGTGTGTTTCTAACATTTCATTATGAAAAACAGTGATTTTTGGAGGGGGGACATCTATAATCAATTTCCTACATAAATTTTATTATTACATTTACTATACTTGCTTTATCTCTGTTCAGATATTCTTTTAAAATTATACATTCAATTAAAATATGAGTAACCAGATGTTATATTGTCGGTCTTTAGCTTAAAATTGCTAGACATAGCTAATAAGTTTGGTGATACAGTATTGAATTATGCTTTTGTTTTTTCCAGAAATCACTCTTGGCTGAGTGTTTTGAGTTGTGAAATGTCGCGTATATTGGTTGAGAATTTGGCTTAGCAGTAGAGCACTTGCCTGCATGCACAAAGGCCTGGGTTTGATTCCCAGCACCACCAAAAAGGGGCAAATTTAAATCTAGTATGTACAAGTGTCAATAGAATTGTTCTGAAAGACTCCTGATATACTATCTTTCATTTTCATTACTTTTTTTTGCACAGGAACCATGCCAAATATGATAAGAGTTTTCTCTCTTATATCTCAAAAATATCAAATGTTTATGTTCTGCCAGCTATGTGCAGTGGTACATGCCTGTATTCCCAGCTACTTAAGAGACTGAGGCAGTACATCATTTTTTTTTTTTCCCGGTACCACGGATTGAACTCAGGACCTTGCACTTGCAAGGCAGGTGCAGTGCCACTGAGCTAAATTCCCAGCCCAGGTGCATCTCTTGAACTCAGGACATCAGGGCCAGTCTGAGCAACATCATGAGACCTTATCTCTTAAAAAAAAATAATATGCTGGACAGAGTAATGGTCTTTTTATCCCCCAGATATGCAGGCCGTAATCCTCAGAACTTATGAATAATATTATATTATTTGTCAAAATGGCTGTGCAGGTATAGCAAGTTAGAGACTCAGAGATAGGTTATTCAGAGGAGTCTAAATGTAATCCACCATGCATCCTTAAAAGTGTAGAACCTCTTTTTTCTTTTTTTGTTTTTGTTTTTTGTTTTTGTTTTCCGGTACCAGGGATCGCACTCAGGACCTTGCGCTTGCTAGGCAGGCATGGCACCACTGAGCTACATCCCCAGCCCTGAGAACCTTTTTTTTCTAAAGGAGAGAGAACACATTAGCAGAAGGGTCATAAGATACCGAGTTTGATGATGGAATAAAGGGGCTTAAGCAAAAGAATGTATGGCCACGAGAAGCTAGATACGTCAAAAGATTTTGTTCTTAAAGCCTCTAGAAAAGAATGGAGCCCTGCTGATGTCTTGATTTTAGCCTAGTGAGGCTCTTGCTATTAATGTTTTTTAAGCCACTAAATTTATGGTCATTTTTTTACAGTAGCAACAGAAAATGATGCACAGGAATAATCCATATTATAGGTTAAAGACTCAGTACTGTAAAGATACCAGTTCCCTTTAAATTGATTATAGTGTACTCACAATCCCCAAAATTTATTGTTGTTTTAGCTAAGATAATATTAAATGACAAAGTTTGAGAACTTACATTACCAGATATTAGGACTTTATAAAACAAATGAAGACAGTGTGATTAAGTAATTAAGACAATGTGTTATTGGCTTAAATCAAACAACTATTATCAGTGGAACAGTCTTGAGTCCTTAAATAAACCTAGACATTTTTGGTCACAATATTTATAGCAAAACAGCAGTACAATGCAGAAGGTAAGATAAAATCTTTTCAGTAAATATAGGGAAAAAGTACATTATTCCTACTTCATATGATACATAAAAATACTTTCAGGTAGGTTAAAATTTAAATGTGATTAGCAAAATATAAAGTTTCTAGAAAAAAATACTATAAGAATATATTTTAATTTTGAAGTGGCAAAGAGTTCTTAAGATGATCATATAAAGGAAAGAAGTATTATGTTGGACTTCAACAGATGAAGAACTTTTTTTTTTAGAACTTCTTTTTTAACGTGAGATAGCATTAAGAGAATGGACAGATAATCACAGAGTGGAAGATTTTTGCAATATCTATATCCAACAAAAGACATACAAAGGGCATACAAGGAACAGAAATCAGCAAGAAAAACACAGAATCCAAATGTAAAAATATGCAAAAAACTTGAATAAGTACTATACAGAAGAGAACATCCATATACCTAATACATTTATGAAAAATGACTTTTTTTCTTGCATCACTCAGCTTGATTAAACCTAGGAGTGCTCTACCACTAAACTACCTCCCTTTTTATTTTTAATTTTATTTTGAGACAGGGTTTCACTAATTTGCCTAAGTTGGCATTAAATTTGTGATCTTCCTGCCTTAGCCTCCTGGGTAGATGGGATGTGTATTACCATGCCTGGCTGGCTAACTTCTTTAGTTATCATAAAAATACTCATTAAAACCATACTTATAATATATTAGATACCCACTAGAATGATTAATTTTTAAGTGATACAAACTATTATTGAAGATAACAAGCAAGTGAAACTCTGACACATTGCTGATGGGAATATAAGTTGGTATGATTACTTTGGAAATTGATAGTATTTAGGAAACTTGAATGTACATATACCCGCTGTGACCCAGCAAGTCACATACCCTTGTGTACCCATGCCTACAGTAATCCCAGACACTTGAGAGGCTGAGGCAGGACAATCACAAGTTCAAAGCCACCATGGGCAGTTTAGCAAGATAGTCTCTCAAAATAAAAATGGCTGGGGATGTAGCTCAGCACTCCCTTGGTTCCATCTCTAGTACCAAAAAAAAAGAAAAAACTTTTTCTAGACACATGACTGAAGTTAAAACTTGCTTGAGTGAATCATTGATAATTCACCAGTTGAAAACTACTGCTAATTCAAATTCCAGTCTAAAAAGTGGATCTCATGCATGGAATATAAAATATGTAGTCAAGTCATTGTCACCAGTCAATAAAGTTTGATTTATCTTTTTATTTTTCCTTCCTTGTAGGTATGTCACATAGTTCTGGGCTTAAGACCAGCTACTCCAGAAGAAGAAGGACAGATTATTAGGTAAATTTGTAGCTTCAGACTGTATATTGTTTCATTATATAGCTGAAATTTCTAACACCTGAAATATAAATATCCCTTCCTAGCCAAGGGCCTGGATTAATTTAGAAGTCACATTCTGTTAATATTAAAATTGTGCTGGGGCTCTGTGATAGAACACTTGCTTAGTGTGTGTGAGGCCCTGGCTTCAATCCCTAGCACAGGGGCCAGGAAGGGGCAGACAGAACTTTACATTAAAATTGCATGAATACTACATTTTTTAAGTTAAAATATTTTATAGAAAGTAGCCATTTTTCTTTGGCAGAAAAACACTTGATGTTTCATGTGCAAAAATTACAAAATACTGAGTTACAAACTGAGCACAAATGCCCATAACCTCTGTATTTATAAATAACTGGCACTGACATTTTTTTGTATTCACGTACTTACATGCATGCCCACAATGATATTTGTAAAATTTTTACAAAAAATTAGAATATTTTGAAATTCTGTTTATTTCCTGTTCTTATATACTCAAGATCAAATAAAATGGTATTTTTATATATCAGTAAAAGCCTAATGTAATTTTAAATTATTAGCTGGTAGCCCTGTTTGTCCTGTTATCTTCATTTTCTTTAATGTAAGCATATTGGAATAATTGAATAATTAATTGCTCAAGCATTTTCTTAGAATATGTTACTTAAAGTGAATTATCTGGGTTACTTTAAAAAGTCTGTATGTTTTTATTGCTGTAGTTCTGTTTTATTACCTTGAGCATCTTTCACTGTTTTCTAGTACTGTTACCATCATACTACACATTTATATAGAAAGTTTCAGAAATAGGACAGAGTCTATACTAATCTTTGCTTTTAGAATAAATGCTCAGTATGTATCTGGTCAACTCACCCTTTCTAAAAAGTATTATGCATATAGAGCCAGGTGTGGTGGTGCATTCTTGTAATCCCAGCACTCAGGAGGCTGAGACAGGAGGATCTCTGCAGGTTCGAGGCCAGCTTAGACAACATAGTGAGCTCAAACCCAGTCTGGACTACATAGCAAGACCCTGTCTCAAACAAACAAAACAACAAAGTATTATGCATACAGTTAAGATGGGTGGGTACATGCCTGTTAGCTACTCGGGAGCCTGAGGCAGGAGGATTCCAAATTTGAGGCCACCCTGGGCAACTTATCAAGATCTGTCTCAACAAAGGGCTGAGGATATACCTCAGTGCTCTCTGTTTCAATTCCCTATCCTACACACAGACAAAAAGTATAAAATATTTTGCCTTCAAACATCTTAGTAGTTTCTCCTGCCTTGAGATTTCTAGGTGTAGGGCATTTTACTGAAATAATTATTTGAAATACCTGAGACCAAGATCACATAGTCAGTATTCAAATAGGCAGTGTTAGTTAAGGTAGTTACATAGCAAATACATTTTCCAAGTTTTTAACTGGGTTTTTAAATGGTTATTTCTTGAAGAAGATAAAGTAAGAGCTGGATGTGGTGGTGCATGCTTGTACTCCTAGAACTGTGGAGGCTGAGGCAGAAGAATCAAAAGTTCAAGGCTAGCCTAGGCTACATAGTTGAGTTCAGGGCCAGCCTGGATTGTACAATGAGACCCTATATCCAAACAAAATATATGGCCAAGGATTTAGCTCAGTGGCACCGAACCTGCCTCGCACAAGGTCCTGAGTTTGATCCCTGGTACCAAAAAAAAAAAAAAAAGCAAAATGTTTTGAATTTTGATACTCAGGAGAAAGTTTGTAATTTTCAGATGTTACTGACAAATTTGCCTTGATTTTCTGTAATTTTTACCTATCAAAAAGAATATTTAAGTGCATGGGTGTGTATAAATAAGACATTGTAAGGAAATACTTAAAGGCTTTTATGTAGCTATAGTGACTTTTTTCCCCTTTAACAATACAGTCTAATTTTGTACCATGGTAATATATTATGAAGTCAGTATGACTTAGCATAGAGATAGAATGCTATGTAGACTGTATTTGATTTCTTAGCTTATTCTGCAGCCTCCTCATAGCTTCCTATTTTTTAAAATGGCGATAAACTTGTATTTTCATGTAAATTTGTTGCCAAATGCTTCTATTTGCATTATCTCACTTAGTCCCCAGGATGCTTGCATGAAACTAATGTCACCTCATTTTATAAAAGAGGAAACTGAGAGAGAAATTGAGGAAATTATCTAAATTTACCTGGAAGTTATAAAAATCAAATCTAGGACCCCTTTCATTAAAAGCATTAATAATTAATCCCAGTTGCTTGGAAGGCTGAGACCAGAGGATCACAGCTTTGAGCCTGGGCAACTAAGAAGCTGTCTAAAATTTTTAGAAAATTAAAAATGTCTGAGAATGTACTTCAGTGACATTTAGAATCAGTTTTGATTGGTTCATTTCATTTGTGGGTTTTTTGTTTTATTTTGTAGTTTTAGTTTCATTTGCCTCCATTTTTACTTACAAGAATTCATTTGTCTGATGATTTTTTTTCCTTTTTTTTTTGGTACCGGGGATCGAACTCGGGTCCTTGCGCTTGCTCAGCAGGCGGCGAAACCACTGAGCTAAATCCCCGGCCCTGCCTGATGATTTTTAAAGATGAGTCAGGTTTGTTTTGTGTGGTCCACTGAAACAAATACTTGTCTCTAACTTAAAGTCAGTACTTTGTCTAAAAAAATCAGTAACATAAACTGGGTGTGGATAGCATATACTTGTAATTACAGCACACTGGGAGGCTGAAGCAGGAGGATCACAATTTAGCAAGTGAGGTCCTATCTCAAAATTTAAAAGGGCTGGAACTGTAGTTCAGTGCAAAGGGCCGGAGGCTCAATCTTGGGGCACGGGGTGTGTGTGGCGGGGAGTAGGGTGTCAGTGTCATGAATTCTAGAATGGCTGAGTAAAGAGCTTACCACATTTTCCCTAAAAAGCAACTATATAGCTGCATAAATTTCTTTTCTTTGGTCCTGGGGATCGAACTTGGGACCTTCCACTTGCAAGGCAGGTGCGGTTCCGCTGAGTTAAATCCCCAGCCCTGTATAAAATTATTAAACAGCTGTTTCAGGGCTCTAAACTAACCAAAGAAATAAGGCAAATTGAGAAACATTCAAGAAAATCTAAACCTTAGTAAGAATAATGGAAGTCTGTGGTGATATATTCTGGAGCTACTTTTAATCCCTCCCATCCAACAAGTCAGCATCATAGTTCTTTGAAGGTAGGATGGATTTGGAGTAGAACAGCAAGTGTGACTGCTTTAAGGTGTTACGGCACAATCTCACCCAATCATTAGCTGACCATAAGTTAGGTTCACTCTAAGAAAGCTAGGTAGGCCTAAAAATAAACACAAGAATTAAAGAAAAGGAAATCAAGAAGAAATTGAGCAGGCTCACACTGCAAGACACTATGCTAGAAAATACTGTAGAATTAGTCCAGAAAGAACAAGGCATGGTGGCTCACACCTATAATCAAAGCATTCTGGGAGGCAGAAGGATTGCAAGTTCGAGCTCAGCCTGGACATTTTAGAGACTTAGTGAGACCTTGTCTCAAAATAAAAAAGGGTTGGGGATGTAACTCAGTACAGAGGCCCTGGGTTCAATCCCCAGTACCCCTCCACACACATATACATTTGTTCCAGAAAGCATAAAAGAGGGGGAGGGGTTTTCTAGAATTCAGAGTTGGTAAAATATATTATCAAATGTGTTTAGTTTTCAACAGGAAAAAAATTATGAGACATGGAATGAAACAGGAAAATGTGACCCATGTATGGGAGGTGAGTGGGCATTAGTAGAATGTATCTCGTAGGTGGTCCCAAATGTTGAGCATAGCATCCAAAGACTTCAGTGTAGCTATTTACAGTATCAACATAAAAGTCTCAGAGAGAGAAGAAAGAAAAAGGGGCAGAATATTTGGGGAAATAATTGCTAAAAATGTCCCAAATTTGATAAAAGACATCAACGTACACATTCAAAAATCTTACCGAATTTCAAGAAAGATAAACTAAAAGAGGTGCACATTGAGACACGTAATGAAATTGTCAAAAGACAATTTTGAAAGTAGCAAGAAAGAATCTATTTGTCACATATGAGAAATTTCTCGGTATTTTTCTCATCAAAAAGCATGAAATCGGGCCGGGGATTTAGCTCAGTGGTTCTGTCGCCTGCCTCGCAAGCACAAGGACCTGAGTTCGATCCCTGGTACCAAAAAAAAAAAAAAAAAGCATGAAATCGAGAAT